TTTAACAGTTTCTGCATGTGGTTCTGATTCTCCTGGCTAAAATCCTGCCAGGTCAGCTGCATGCAGTGGGGGGTCAGAATAGATGCCTGGGGGGTACCTGCTACCTGCACACTACCCTGATGGGAAGCAAGGAGAGAGGCTCATTAGATCATCTCTCTGGCTAATTGATCACATCAGGGGCTGGCACTCAGCGAGCAGGCCCTTTAAAGGGAGCTCAGGCCCCAGGGAAACAGCATATAAGAGAGTGAGATTGAAAGTGAGCTGCAGCCAGGAGTGGGGAGCCTTCCAGGGCTGGGCTGGGCTGGGCTGGGCTGGTTTGGTTTGGTTTGGTTCGGTTCGGTTCTCAGTGGACAGACTGCTGAGTTAAGGGCAGACTGCTTGAGCAGGCTTGGGGCTAAATCCTGCAGCAGAGGGGGAACGTGGGGCCCTTGGTGGTGTAGCGTGTCCTGGGCTGGGAGGGAGTGAGGGTGCTATGCTCTGGGATGGCAAAGGGCCATATGGACTGTGTTCTTCCTCTGAGCAAGAGGGAGCTGCAGCACGGAGATGGGAGAGACTCCTCCAGGGCACAGAGACTGCAAACACCTCTGTGACCAAAGCAAGGCCCCAAGCCAAGGGAGGGCAGAAGGACCTGTGAGTAGGGGGAAAGTGCAAACTTTACCCTGGGAGGGAAGGACTTTTGACTTGGCCAGGGAGCTCTGGGGAAGACAATCTCCTCAGATGGTGAAACTGAGGCATGGTGAGGTAACTGAGGCAATAGCTGCATGTTAGATGTTGGAGGTAAATTTTTAAGGCTCCGATTAGAACCAAGTGTCTGTGGTATTGGGAAGATGAAATTACCTGAGAAATCCCGATAACAGCAACTCAACTTCTTTGTGAGACCTCAGGTACTTTTCATTGGCAATGCGCGTGTTAATCTGCAGCAGAGACATAACCGAAAAGGTAAATTTAAGGGCCGCCGCTCTGAACTGGCAGTAACCCCATTTCATCAGTGCTTTGCTGAAGCAGCAGTAATACATGCCATTTATGTAACCTTCTGCATCTCCAAAGTGCTCTCCAGATGCTAGGTAATCCTCACAATTCCCCCTGTGAGGGATAATCATGTAAATCAATATTATTTATGTCCACTGCATAGATGGAGAAACTGAGGCTCAGAAAGGTTGCCTCTTCCACTAGGCCCCAGTGGTAGAGCTGGGAATAGAACCCAGGAGTCCTGACACCAAGAGTCAGGTCCAAGACTCTGCTCTGCAGTGGAAGTAGATTGAATTGAGAATTGGGATATTGGTTACAAAAGAGTAAATCCAAAGTGACTTAGTTCAAATTTACACTGCTTTTGATCCAGCTCTAACCTCTAGCCTGGGCCTGATTCTACCCTCAGCCTTACACCAGTGTAACTCTACTGACTCCTGCTTTGGGTCAGTGGAAATCAGGAACCCAGCCTGTTGCCGTCCCAAAAACTCCTAGAAAATGGTGTGCTACTGCTGGGCTTATAGGCTGTGTTTAAGGACAGCATTTTACAAAGGACACGAAGAAGGTCCTGGTTCATAAATAATCCTGGCATCTGGTGAGAAATCTCTCATCCTTGCAAGGACTGAACAAACTGACAGGTTTCTCAGTGTGTTCCCCTTTGGCAATCTCTTGTCAGATCGAACAAGGATCACTGCTTTTTTGTGGAGGTTTTGCATGAAAAGGTTTTCCTCTAGTGGTCTGAGATAAAAGTGAATTCCACCTACCAATAAACCACCATAGCCTTTAGAGTACTTGCCATGCTTCGTAACAATTATTTTCTACAGGTTGAACCTCTCTAGTTCGGCAACATTCCTGGTTCAGCATGATTTTAGTTAGCCAGATGTCCACTTATCACGGGTGTGGCCGAGTTTCCCATGATCCTATAAAGTTTTACAGCCACCAGTCCTGGTTCTCAATGTTCTGTGCTGTTGTTTAGCTCTAATTTACCCCCTAAATGTCTTCTAAGAGCCCAGTAAGCAGTAAAAGTGTGGGTAATGCTGCTTGTCATGATTATGAGGGTTAGCCAGCAGCCTGGGGTTTAAGGGGTTAACTACACCTAGCCAGGTGGAGTGACCAGTAGGAATGTAGGTGGGACTTTCAAACTGGGACAAAGGAATTTGGGTTTTTTCCTTTCTCCTTTTGTCGCTCTGTGTGTGTTCTCTGCAGCTACAGAGAGGGAAAAGCATGTCTCTCTCTCTCCAAGACACCATTCTTCCTTTTCTGTAAGTAGGGTAAAGTTTAGGTAGTTTCGTTAGGCTTTATTGTTTTAAGGGTTGGGTATGGGATCTGAGATCTGGCACTGCTTAAAAGATGTTTTGGCTTTTCTTTGTAACTAAGTTCTAGGCCCATGGAGTTTCTCCATGAGTATACTTTGTTACCTTCCCATCTAGTCATTATGCCTGCAACAGGAATATTGTTGTAATAATAAAAGTCTTCTCTTTTCTTTTTATTAACCTGGCATTGGTTACTTGTGTGTCCTGATTTTTATAATAGGGGTGAGATTTCCCAAATGATCTTTCCCCTGATTTCTTTATCAATATTTGGGTGGTGGCAACGGAAGTTTTATTCCCAAGATCTAGGTTTTTAAGATTTTGGGGGAAGTTTTATACCAAAGCCTGGTAGATAAGGCTTTGGAGTACCCTTGCTGGCCCCCACTTCTGCATTTATCATGCCAGGGTGAGGAAGGAGCCATGACATTGCTAAACAATATTGACCTCCCATGGTCTGGCAAATTCTCTGATTCAGCACCGGTCAGGTCCCGAGGGTGCTGGATTAGAGATGTTCAACCTGTGGTTAATATCTGCCTCTTATTTTTGCGTGTAGAGTTCCTAGCTAAGATCAGTGTCCTTTTGTATGTGCAGCACCTAGCACTAGAACCAATCTCTGCCCAGCATTTCTTGCAGGTTAAACAAACCAATTCTGAGGGTGACAAAGAGGCTGAGAGAGGTTTTATTCCCAATTCTGCTATTCCACCTATCTTTCCTGATTTTGCAGCCTATGCTTTGATAAATGTATTAGATTTTATTCACTGACATCGTTCTAGATCTAAGGTTTAATCTAAATCAGGCTCCGGGGAAGCTGAATGAGTAATTATCACCTTGATGAGACTATTCTCCCTAAATTGGAGGAATGACTGAAGCACACTAAGGACTGATCAAACGTCTTTTGAAATCCTAAATGTGTTGACTCTGCAGATGGCAAAATGTAGCAGCAACAGTTTATGTGCAAAGGAGAAAGGTGCGCTGGTTGGATAGGATCAAAAGCACTTCAATAGGGTTTTCTGGTTGTTCGTCAGTAAATTGGATTGCCAGCCCTCTGGCTCATAGCTCTAAATCTGGGAATCTATGATCCATCATTGAGACTATTCCAGTGCAACATAACTAGAGCTGTGCAGATAATGGGTTTTTCACTTGGCTAGCAATTCCAAAACAACCATTTATTTTGGGTCAAATTGAAAATGAGGTTCTCAAAACTTTTGGCAGATCACAGGGGGAAAAAAATACTTTGTATTCAATGAAAAGTTTCTTTCCTCAATGAAACATTTTGGTTTGATTTTTGAGCTTTTCAAAATGCTTCTGACTAATTATATTAATAAACAAAGGAAACTTTGAAACAAAAAGTTGTTTTGAATTTAAAAAATCAAATCCAAATGTGGATTATTTTTGGACATTTTTAACGGGCGTGGGGTTTTGGTGGGGATTTTGGGTTGTTTTTGGTTTTTTTTACTAAAACAATTCAGCAAACCCAACACACATTCATAAAACATTTTGGTGTTGAACATCTGCATTTGTGGCCCAAAATGCTTATTAGGACACAGAGCTGTTAAGGCTGGACATCAAGGGATGGGTAATTTGGTAATTTCCCTGTTCAGTTTATTTCCCTTTGAAATATCGTGTGCTGGCCACGCACGACTCAGTCCGTCCATTCTTATTTGATCTAGAGCAAGGTGAAAATTATCTCTCGTGACAATTCAGGGGGGTGAAATCAGGACTTTGTGTCCCCTTCCTCATGTCCCTCTCATCATGCCACCCACGTCTTGCCAAGAGCCTGAATAGGATAAAGCTGTTTTATGGGCTGTTGTGAACAAAATGTTCAGGTAACAAATCCACTCCTTCCGCAGGACCATCAGCATCGCCCCCCCCCTTAGTCAGGGGAGGGTGGGGGGACATAGGGTTGTAGAACTACCCCATACCAACCTGTTAAGAGTCCTGAGACCTGCCCCCTAACTTTGGGGGTGGGGAGGAGAAGAGGAAGAATGCCTCTTGGACTGAACATTTTTGGAGGGAGAAGCCCTCCTTTTGGGGGAGAGGGGAACCTCTCTTTGCCCCTTCCTGTTTTAGGGTGGCGTTCCCCATTCCTCGGGGGGGAAGATGTTTCTCTTGGATGCAGCCCCCTTGTTTTAAGGGGGTGCCCCAGCTCCCCACCCCCTATTTTTATGGGGGAGGAGCATTCCCCTCCCAGATCAGGAGCCCTGCCCCCTCCCCCCCGACACACACCTTGAACTCCATGAGCTGCGCCTGCTGCTCTGGGCTCAGGGCCCCCAGATCCAGCCCCCCCCAGCCGGAGGCCACATCAGCCATTTTGTTTGCTCAGGCAAGCTGCTGGGGTTGCTATGGGGACAGCTCCAGGCTCCAGCAGGGCCAGCCTTGTTCTGAATCCGGAGACTCCCCCTCCCACAGCTCTGGGGTGGGGCCTCCCCTTCTCTAGCAAGGGGGGAACTTACTCACCCCAGAACCAGAGCAAACCCTCTCTCCCCAAGAGCATGCCCTGATGGAGGGTAGAGCCCCCCATCCCCTGCCCCAAGGATTACAGGACGGAAATTGGCGCTTTGCCCATGAAATTAGCCTACCTGTCAAGGCGCCGTCGCTGGCCAGTTACGCCCTGTGGTTCTCATGTGCTAGCCTGAGGATGCAATGTTTGGGCTCTGGCCAATTCTCAGGATATTCAGCCTGGCTCTTGTGTTTTTTAAAACCGCAGCTCGCAGTCATGTGAATGCCCCCGCATCTCTGCTTCCACTAAAACAGAAAGAGAACACCTTTGCCCACAAGTGTGGCAGAGAAAAAGTGGGGGGGAAAACGCCCATACCACCAAAATGCATCCCGAAGTCTCAGAAACCAAGGGGCAAAGAAACACAACTCACCACAACTCATTTGTGTCTTTAAAATCTCATGATTTTTAGGAGTGTCCGAGGGGTAGCTGTGTTAGTCTGTAACTTACAAAAAAAATTAAACAAATGGGCTGTAGCACCTTAGAGACTATATATAGATATATATAGATATACAGGGCTCAACAATTTCGCTTATCTACTTGCCCATGGTGAGTAGATTTCAGCCGGTCGCCCCATTCATTGGTGGTTTGCGCATGCGCAGTGCGGGTCTCGTGCATGCACAGTGCAGGGCTGGCGAGTGGTTTTTGCCGTGATCGTCGAGCCCTGTATGTGTGTGTGTATATATATATATATATATATGTATATATTGTTAGGCTCTAAGATGCAATAGGACCACTCATTTTTTAAGTATCAGAGGGGTAGCCGTGTTAGTCTGAATCTGCAAAAACGGCAAGGAGTCCTGTGGCACCTTATAGACTAACTGAAGTGTTGGAGCATAAGCTTTCATGAGCAAAGACACACTTTGTCAGATGCGTGTGCATTTTTTAATTTTTTTCATGATTTTAGGGGCATTCATGGGTTTTGGATTCATCAGTCCTGGGATTAATTTATTAAAATTTGTTTCAGAACTTGAAAACAAATCATTCTAACCATAGGAACTTTCTGATTGGCTTGGATTACAAAACCCAGATTTGGTGCTGACTTGGGCCTTTTCAGCAAGAGTAATCCTAAGCACCCAATAATTATGACATTGAAAAAATTAAATGTTTGGAGGGGGCTTTTATTTTTCTCTCTCATTTATATTTTTCAGTGCACAGGTCACATTTTCTCAGCAACCAGGAAAGCTAGAAATCAGTGTTTTAAATAAGGCTGCCTTTTTAAAGCTTAAGTCGAAATAACTGAGTTAGTGCCAAAAGCCGATCTACGCAGCAAGAAGTTGAAGGAAGAACACTCTTCCTTTGATTTCCTTTATTCCTCGTGAAATGAGGGTTCCAGGAGTTGGAGTAAGTAGACCTCCAGCTCGACATTATTTCGATAGAATGGATTGCTGTGTAGATGTGCTCTTTGTTATTTCAGAGTAACATCAGTTATTCCGACATAACGTTGCTGTGTAGACATAGCCTAACAGGGTTCAAAAAAGAGCTAGATAAATTCATGGAGGTTAGGTCCATCAATGGCTATTAGCCAGGATGGGTAGGAATGGTGGCCCTAGCCTCTGTTTGCCAGCTTACGGGATGTGGGGAGAGTGATGGATGGAGAGGGAAGGAGTTAGCATTGCTACCTTAAGTGATTTTTTTCTAAATTGAATCAAAATTTTATTTTGTAGTATCTGGTGTTAAAACAGCAACTCCTGGAGCCATGTGATCACATGGGACTCTCTGAGGTATGTCTACACTGTGGGTTTTAAAACTCCACCACGTTCAGGGAACGCGTTTGCTCTTCCGCTTTTTTTTGCGGAAGTGCAAACACGCTCTTTCAGAAGCCCTGTCTTCTTCATTCCATGAGGAAGAAGGGATCTTCCAAAAGAGGGGGATTGTCCAAAATTTGGCCCAGTGTAGACGGGCCAAATTTCGGAAAAGCCTCTTCTGAAAAAAATCGGAAAACGACGCAAAATGCAGAGCGTATTTTGTGTAGCTTTTTCCGAAAAACCGCTGTAGTGTAGACCTAGCCTAATTCTTTCCTCCCTACAAAGTAAATTTCTAACCCTGGTGGTGACAGAGAAAAGCTTCGAAACATGGCTCCCAAAGGCTCAAAGCAACGAAAATGAATTTAAATATACTACAGTACTTTTTAAGAGCTCATGATTGTAAGCCTATCTCGTGGTTTTTTGGGGCCAGACTTGTGTTTTTTTTTATTTTTTTTAATACTTGGGGTTGGCAGTGTGACGACACGTTGGGGTTTTCCCGTCTCCTGCACCCCCGTAATGGCACGAAA